GCCTCCGCCTTATATATGGTAGGGTAGAGAAGGTTCTGGAACAAAAGGTGGAGTTAAGGTGGGGCATGTAAATTATGACTATAAAGGAAAACATAACCATACATGGTAATGCACCAAAAATCAACCAGTAAGAACACAGGTTTTACATACATCACAAATAAGGCATAATACATGAAAAGATAATATACATTATAAACAAGACACAAAATTCACAATTTCCCACTCCCAACATATCTTCCTTTTTTTTTATTTTAATAAAGATAGAACTGATTATATAAATTATTTGTAATTTAGAGGGATTTCAGCAATAAAGAGCTTCAAGCTAAACATGGAATAAAACATTAATTTGTAATAAGGAAGGAGATAAAAGAATTTTTGTTGAACTTTTAAGAGAGAATAAGTAACTTTGAAATAGATGATATTAATCAAATAATATGTTAAGCCCTATATAAAAATTATAAAAAGAGAAACCTCCAAAATAAAGTTTACCTGAGCTTTTTGGGTAGCTCAACCCAAAGGCAATAAGGGTTGCCTCTGCCCTGAGGACCAGTGTCTCCCGCTCTACCAGCTAAGCTAGTCCTAGCCAGGTCACGAGACTGTTCACTTGCTTGTCCACTCCAGCTTAAGGTTGTATGGTGGGTAATGCACTGTTGGAGGACTTTTCAGTACCTTGCCTAGCCCTTACTTTGCCTCCCTCTCGACTTGGGCTAGGGAACTGTTATATGGGGGGTTCAAGCCCCGAGCATTCCCCTCGAGCTCTCTGGCCAAAGAATACTCACCCTTGAACTTCTCATTATACTAACGACAGAAGTTCAATACAGTGCAAAACTAAGTTTGTGGAGATTTCCAACTTAATGATAAAGGACAAAAATGTAAATTTGTTAACTTTTTAACCTTAGCCCGAGCTTATAAATGGATAAGAAAGAACTTTATAATTTTGAGGTTTTTCAAGTTTCCAGACGTTCATACTCTCACACAAAACATTCACGGAGGCCTCCTTCATTCACACAAACACACTCTTGCATTCACCTCAAGATGTTGATTATTTGTGGAGTTTAACCAACTATAAACATTTGTATAAACTGAAAAATAAACCACATGTTTAAATCATATAATTAGTTTCAGTGTATAAGTTCAAGTATGTAAGTAATTATTCCTGTAAGTTGACATTTTTTCTATATTTCAAAGTAAATATATACTTATAATAAAAAAGTAGTTAATATATGAAACCAAAAATCGTCAGGAATGAAAAAACATTTTTTGTTATAAAACTGTTACTCAGGTGTCATTTATCTTTATTATTTCTATCCCCCCTTTTTTCTTTTTACTGACAAGGTATACATTATCAAGTACTACATTAATGTTAAACCTTGTAAAAGTCAGATTAAATGCCACTTTCAGTTCCGTGGACTACGTTTTTCGTCAGACTTCTTACAAGGGATTTTGATGTGTGTGACCTGGTCTCCCTGTTTCTTTTGTGTTTCTTACTTCTTGTATTTTTTGTATGTTGTTTGTTTCAATTGCTGTAGAAACTTGAATAATAAACTTAATAAAGGTGTTAACAATAACATTTCAGTATAAATCAGGTAATCAATTATCGAAATATTAAAACAATATATAAAATTATATAAGAAATATTCATTAAAATGCATGAGAACACACTCATTTTTAAGGTTAAATGGTTGCTTTCAGTTACGTAACTTGTTCTAGTTGTTGCAGAAATTTGTAGGCAGTCCTTGTTTTCTTCAGTTGCTATCTTCTTCGTTGTGATGTTATTCTTTTTTCTTTAATAATAAAACTCAATAAATATAATAATAATAAAGTAAATCATTATTAAACATAAAAATAACACATGAAGGTAAATAAGAAATACTTAATAAAATATATGAGAACATATTCATTTTCAAAATCAAACTAAAAAAGCAGCTGCTACACTCACACTTCATAAATGTTTTTGTTTGATTCGTTGGTAGAGATTTCCATAATCATCATGATATGCCATTTCTTCTACATATAACAGTCCTTGATTGTCGGGGACTGTGCTTGTAATTATAACAATTTGTTCAGTCTTTTGGGTTTTGGGTCTTTGAGATGTTGCGTAAGGGGAACGCTGTGGATTTTTAAAGCTTTTAGAGGGAGAAGTAGCATTTACATTCGGAGGAGTTCTCTTGCATGTTCTTCCCTTTTGACAGGCAACTGGTTTGGCAATGTCTTTGGCGGTGTCATCTACAATGGCTTTGAGGATAACAGTGCCATTCTTATGAGAATAAACTTGGACAACTTCAGGCATGTGTGTCACCAGCTCTAGGGTGGACTGGAAGCCTAGGTCTTTGAGGGGCAGTGGTTTGTGGATCATGGTTATGTACTGGTCTTCCAGCTCTGCTGGCGTTAAGCCCTCCTTGGCAGTTATCAGTATGGCTCTCACCTCCTTCTTCAATACTTCTATGAGTTGTGCTTGCTTCACTTTGTCTATGGATGTTATTGTTTCCTTTGGTTGGAGGTTTGAGTCTTGTATGCCTTGTGTATTGTACGTTGTTTTTACTATACCTTGATTCTTTTCTTTTGTATCAGATTCATTTTTTCCCAATGCATATGTTTTAAACTCTGACTTGAAGATGGTTGCTATTTCCTGATTATAAAATTCACTACTTTCTACTAGTGAACATACATTAGAAATATAAAACATTTTATCTTCTAACACATTGGTAGATGTATTTTCTGATTCTATAATAGTTTGTTTATCTTCATGATGTTTTACACTTTTTTTGAAGAATTGATGAGAAGAATTGATGATGGCTAGGCTGGATTCTGCAAGCTGCTTATTGGTTTTTATCATAGGGGTTAAAGTAGTAATATGATTTTCATGGACGCTGCTATCTTGGTGGGTGTTTATTTTTAGCAGGCTGGAAGTGCCATGGGCGTTGCCACCTTGACTGATGTTTATGTCAGTCACCCCAGAAGACGATGTCACCGGAGGGTTGCCGAAAATGGGCGTTGTTAGGGTGTTACTAGGGACAGGCGTTGCCATGGTGTTAGGTGATGTTTGTGTAGTTAAAATGCCATCTTGGGAGTTAGCAGGGGTGACATTTTGCGAAGGGTTACACGCAGTAGTGATCTTAACGCTATTTTGAGAACTAGTGTCAAGCTCGCCATCTTGTGTGTCTGTAAAAAGCCCGCCTTTTCGTGAGGGGCTAAAGATGACTCCATTTTGATTTTTACTTTGTGAGTCATCTGGGAAAGCATTACATGGACTTGGATTTTTATTTTCCATTATTTCAAACTGTGATTCTCGTTTTTCTTCCTGGTTTTTTAGTTGTAATATATTAAGGAATAATGTCCATGTTATCAGAGATTTCAAAGCTTTCTTATCTCCATTATTACTTGCCATCCACAAAATTTTGCCAATTTTGTCCCACTCTTGACAGTTTAATGTTTCTGGGACTGGGTCTATATTTTTATTAATCCATTTCATCAGCGCTTTTAAGGATTTTTTGATTTGAGAATGTCCATGATTCTTGATTAAATTTTTAGATAATAATATAACTCCAATTCGTCTTTAGCTGGGATTCCATTTTGATATTAATTTTCTAGGACGAGTAAAAGGGGGTACTTAAGGTAAAAAATAATTTTGTTGTTGCTCACCTCTCTGAGTTAGGTGTTCTGATCTGATTTGCTATTCAGCTGTGGTGAGTGTTGGAGTTCAGTCTCGTTGCAGTTTTTCTTCAAGGGGAGCACGCGAGTTCTTTGAATTTCAGAGACCTTCTACTTGTGCCCTGTGCTTGAGCGCCATTTGTGGAAGTCACAAAGGAGAAAGCCAGATCCACAACTTTGTGGGTGAAAAGGCTAGAAGGCTTTATTGAAGAGGAACTGAACTGAACAGGCAAAAGATTGTAAGCANAAAAAAAAAAAATCAGAACATCCCAAGCACCACTACTGCCACTATTTCCTCTAAAGCATACAAGAACTGATTCAATTTGGTTTTCATTCTACAGTTTGCAACACTTGGGCTATGCTTTTATTCAGAAATAAAATTTACTGAGCATTGGAAGATTAGGAAAAAGCAAGATGTGCTTAACACTTGATGCACTTTATTGAAAATGTAGAACAAGCAAGGCTTAACTTAGCTCTAAAACTAATAAATACTTTAGTTGTTTTGTGTTATGGGTAGCGTTCAGTGGCTTGCATGACTAATTAAACAATCTTTAGTTTGCTTTGAAGGCTAAGCCATCCTAAATGGCTTTAAATTACATTCTATCAAGCTAAGCTTAGAATTAAAATCCTCATTTGCAATAAGGAATTCCACTGTGTATAAATGCTAGTAGAGAGCTGTATTGGAAAGTTTAATAATCTGGATAGTTTCTGGCCCTTGCAGCAAAAGGAGACAACCTAGCTTTCTCATAGCTAAAGTCTCCATCAATGTTGGGAGAGGAAGCTCCATGGGGAAGGTACAGGAAGAAAAGTGTTTGGGGGAAAGTTTTGCATTGGACAGTAACTCAAGGAGGAGATGAAGATGTAAATCATGTTGGCGAACAAAGCCAGAGGGTCAGGGAGGAAAGCTGTGAGAAAGGACATGCTTATCACATAACAAGGACTACCACTACATTTTATCTATTCTATGCAGCCCAGAGAGCCAGCACTGCGGGGGCGCAACCCTAATCCCTGACTACCCAGCACTGGGTAGTCAGAAGTCACAGCACACCTTTCATTCACTTTTGTTTACAGTCATAAATAAATTGTTTGAGGTCACATCTCCTCCTATGTATTCAATACTCAGATATTCATTCTCTCTAAACAAGTGCACTAACAGCAGTATTTTTTTCCATCTACCGACTTACAAGAGTCACCCTTAGGCACACAGGGAACCACTACCCATGCTGCAGGGCAAAGTCAGGCACAAATATATCACACGGAGCAAATATGGCATTTTGCTGCCACTATCACTGACTATGCCTACAACCCCTCTTAGTGGAAGAAAGAGAAAATAGCCCCTCGTGTCACTTGAACATTTTTCTCAAGTAACTTATTGAAATCTCTGAATTCTGGCATGGCTGTCTCCCATGCCACCTCTTCAGGATGAAACAGATAACTCACACTTGTTGCAACAAGCATGCTGAGGACTTTTTTCTGAGCAAGGCAGTTTTGGTCCCCAAGCCATCTGAAGTGAGTGGAGGCATTCCAAAAATACAAACGTTTTCAGAAGAGAATGTTTTTTCCCTGTTCAAATAATTAACCCATCTTTTTCATTCATCCAGCAGGACTGGAGCCGAGCCTGCCCTAGGAGAGGTGTAACTGAACACTCTTCTTTTTGGCTGCTGCCTGCAGTGCATGTGGTGCATTCATGCAGTTTGAGTCACTGCCCATTAAACAATAGTTCCTCCTTCTCTTTCATTAAAACCATCTTCAAAATCCTGCCTGGCATCTCCCTGCAGTTAAGTTAATTTTTCTGTGTCTTTATTCATGGAGGGGAGGAGGGGGATTCTTTTTTTATATGATTACTTTACCCACTGATCTAGTGGTTGAGAAATACCATATGTTTTCACTGTTTGCCTTTACTTTTAGCTCTTCCACAAACGAAAATGTGAAGCCATCCATGCCTTCACTGGCACGGCTCTGCTTTGTTTTCTTTCCCTCCTTAACGGACTCATTCATGTGTAGGAGGCTTTTGATTCTGGGTTTAGATATTCATCCCTACTTTACATAACCATAAGCAATGGCAGGTACTTATGTAAACTACAACTGGGTCTTTGCCCCTGTGCACAACAAGCAGAGGTCCTAAGCCATCGACAACTGCCCCCTGCTTCCAGCTGCCTCTTTGCAAAATACACTGGCAGGGAGAAAGAGGGGCTGTGGGGGGGAAGAGAGACAGACAGAAAACAAGGGGTGAAGAAATTATATTGCACAGTTCCTACCTCCATGGCAGAGTCTTTGTTATCTTGAAGAGGAAAGAGACAGGCTCCAGAGAATGAGGATCCCTGAAGAGGAGCCTGTACTACTGGGCCACAGAAACACCTTTAAAGGCTGTTTACTTTGCATTGTAAAATTCAATTCAGTGGGATGGAGATTACCAGAAACAAAAATATTCATCAAGGAATACATTAAGCAAGTGACTAAATGCATTTTTAGTTCTCAAAGGTATTTATCTTTTCCACAGCTCCACTTTGGAAAAGGGAGGAAATTCCTTGTATTTCATATTTCCCCCAGTTCATCCCTTAAGGAGGAAACACGCAGCCTTCACACACTCACTATCTCTGCAGGAACACCCATACAGTCACACAGCACAAGAAATTAAAGTCACTCACCACAGGGCTTCAAATTTCCAGCAAGCCCACCTCTGAAGAAAGACCCTGTGCTCCACCACAACATATTTCAATGCACAGCTGTGGAACAGGATTGGGACTTCAAGGGCTCTGAACAGTTTATGTTCTCCTGTTCTCTCCAGTAACCACCAGAGTCTCTCCAGTCAATGATATGGACCATATTTGCTTCCAGAAATGATACAAACAGGATACAAGGTCCACCCTAAAGCCACCACAGAGGTCTGCTGTAGAGTTTAGCTCAAGTCCACTCCAAGACACCAAAGCAAAGGTGCTGCACTCATCCAGGTGCACCATAAAGGGAAAGGAAAATTGAAATAAAAAGAAAGAGAGGGGAAAGAAAAGCCACTACCTCTCCACAGGTTCTGCCCTAATTGCAGCAGCTGACTGCAATGAATGGGAGGAAACTATGCCTGTCACTTGGGCAGCCTCCACACACTCACCTGGGGAGGATCTTGGCTCAAAGACACTGGCCCCCCATCCATTCCTTACTGTCAAATTCATATTTAACCCACTTAATACCAGGGCATGGAGCTAAAGCTTTTGTAGCCCCTGAGCGGCACTGCACCTTGGCCTCTTTTATGTTCTGATGTATCTTCTTTAATATCTGTTGTTGACATCTTTGCACACCTGTAAAACCAACATGAGGTCGAAGAGAAATCAGCGTGTTTTCTTGCACTACACAGCAAAAAGAAAGAGAAAATAAATGTTGTTATTAGATATGGATTTACTTAAGGAAAATATTGTTAGAATCTGAACAAACCCCCACAGTTCTGTGCTGTGGATGGTGCAATAATGAAAAATATTATGGGATATAAAGGAAAGTTATGACACTATCATGTAACACAGACAAGTGAGAAGACGTATCAGTCATTATCTAGAATAGAGTAGACTCCTGTGGTTTCATTTTTCATTACTAATTTAATGTACTTACAATGCTACATGATAAAAAGTGAAAAAGAACAATAAGAAGCAAATATCGTCAGAACAAAATGGGATCTGCAGAATTCAGAGATTTCAATAAGTTACTTGAGAAAAATATTCAAGATCCCTTGAGAACTGAACAACATCTATTGACATCCAACAAAAGATCTAATAACAGAAACATAAAAGAAATATGAAAACAACATTTTAATAAACACAAATTAGGAAATACATTTCTTTACATATCATAGTCCCGCTATAGGAAATTATTTCATAGAAAGAAAAGATCCGTTTTGCTAAGAAAGGATGCTTTGCAAATGTTAGCTCAGCAATTGCACTCCTGTGATTCAATGCAAACAGTTTATTCCACACTCTCTCATGAATCCTTAACCCTTAGGAGTTTGCAGTATATTTTCTTGTAGCCATGTAAATGACAAATAATCCCATGTAAGTAAATGGACTTACACCACAGTTAAACGGGCATGAGAGGATAATCACACCTTGCACTGTTTGCTGAGCAAATGCTTACAAACATACTCTGCATGTCTCTCTGGGCAGATTCACCATGAAGCAAATACAAGCCAAAGCCACCTTGAGCTTGATGGCTGAACTCAGGTCAAACAGGCATCTTCCAAAACTCAGGTCAAGCAGGCATCTTCCAAGACTAGCTTGAATTAACTGCCATAAGAGCCCATTTAGCTACAAGTCAGTCAGTAGCCATACTTTAAAAAAACAGTATCAGGAGTAGAGTGAGGACCCCTGACCACGACCAAGGTGAAATACAGCCAAAAGTTGTCTCTCAAGTGTGTAGGACACTCAATATTTTCTTGGTCCCAAGTGAGAGCCACTGGGTGTCATAAGTTTTTTAGAAGTCTACATTAAGACTTGTGAACTTCTATTTTTGTGAGTGTTTTGCCCTGTATCACAGACAATAATATATATCAGTAAATTTACAGAGACCTTTCAGTGATGCTTGGGTATCAAATGTCCAACTATGATCTTTGAAATCTTGGCAATAAACCAGCATGTTTGAACACTGGCTAACAAGACTGAAAATGCAGAAAGCCTCAGCAGAAGCCACTATGTGACTAGGCAGAAATGCTGCCTACTTGTACATATGGAAACTGGCTGGGAGGAGATAGAAGATACTGTGTTAATACGAAAAAAGGAAAACTCTATTTGGCTGCAAAATTATCCTCACCAGTAATATTTCCTTCAAAGCAGAAACTTTCCCACAGCTGTTTTGTCCAGCTTGTGCTCCACTGCTGTGTCTGTAAAATGTAATTAAGGACTGTAGGCTTGGGGGAAAAGAGGAATCCGATTAAAAGTCACAGAAAGGAATGGAGGGGGTAGGTTTGAAGGGTGCTAATGGGGGCATGTTTCAGCGCTATTGAAAATAAACAGT